CAGGACGCATACAGTGCCTGCGCGATCCTCCAGGAGCAGCTGGAGCATCGCACAGATGTTAGTACGCATGCGTGCACCGCGCACGTGCACGAGGACGCCGCCAGCCCCGTTCCAACCGAACCGGTTGGAACGGGGGAGAAACCCACCCCTGGCACACATGCACAAGCGAAGACCAGGTGGCCAGCGGGCATGCACGTGCCAGAAACCGGAAGCTCAGCTTCTCGCTGCGCCAGGGTGGGAGGGAGGGAGAGGGAGAGGGGGAGAGGGAGAGAGAAGGTCCATTTTCCAATTCTCCAAACTCACCATTTAGCGCTGTTTTAAAGCTTTGCTAAAGCCACGCTTCAAATCTAGCCTCTCCCCTTAAAAAAAATTCAGCGGGCAACAGGATACTGGATAAAATTGAGGTGAGCCCCTCTTTCAAAATCCAACCTTCTCAAAAGTCTGGTCCTCGCTTTACCTGACATTTATGACGAGATGAATGGAAAGCCACATAAAACAAGACCTGTGAAGAACTAACACCTGATGTTGACACCTGTAGCGCCGAAATACTCAGTACTTACGTGACTTGTGGTGTCGGAGATCTGCTGTTCAATCAATTGTACAATTTGCTTAAAAGTTGGCCTCTTCACAGGATCAGAATCCCAGCAGCTCTTCATGATGTTAAAGCTGCAGACACAGAATGAACCAAATGAAAAACATCAATCGTAATTTTGAGGTGGTTTTGGGAAACTTTTAGAAAACTCACAGGCATGCAGTTGGGTTTATTTTTCCCAAAACAAACCATTCATTTAATCGCCGAAAGCATGAGAGTGCCTTCTCAAAGGAACTCTGAAAAATACAATGTGTGTCTAAAGTCACAGCCTCCCATTTGACATAAAGGGGTAAAGGTAAAGGTTCCCCTCGCACATATGTGTTAGTTGTTCCCGACTCTAGGGGGCGGTGTTGATCTCCATTTCAAAGCCAAAGAGCCAGCTCTGTCCGAAGACATCACCATGGTCATGTGATTGGCTTGACTAAATGCCAAAGGCGCATGGAGCGCTGTTGCCTTCCCACCAAAGGTGGTCCCTATATTTTTCCTTGCATTTTTCCTTCCTTTCGAACTGCTAGGTTGGCAAAAGCTGGGACAAGTAACGGGGACTCACACCATTACGTGGCGCTAGGGATTCAAACCGCCGAACTGTTGATCTTTCTGATCGACAAGCTCAGTGTCTTAGCCATTGAGCCACTGTGTTCCCTTGACACAACAATAGATAAAGGATAATTGTTGTGCTTTTATATTATACTTCTTGGAAACTGAAAGAATTCTGCTATGGAGCTTGCTGCAATTATATATGTATTTGTTTTTAAATTCTCAATGCGAATGAATGCTAGTATCACAGACTGCAAGGGTTCATATTTAGTTTCGTTTACTTTACTTTATTGTCACTGCACATTGTACAACAAAATTAAATGCCAGCTTCAATATACATTATAACTATAAAAATAAAAACACTAACACACATCCTTCACATTCATATCTCCTTGAAGTAAGCTGTGAGGAACTCTGGAAGCGTTCGGCTTATTTTATTAATTACTGAGGCAGGCATTGTATTTTTCCTGGAATGCTGACATGAACATCCAATGTTACAGTCACATGGGCATTCCAGAATGTGCTGCCAAAGGAGAGGAAAAATTAAACCAATTGTCAAGCTTATTAATTTTATCCACATGCTAAAATACACATACGTACATATACACACATACTCTACTGGAAATAGATCCAACAATGATGTTTTATTTACTCTTTAATTAACAGAAAATCAGAGTTGGAAGGGACCTTGGAGATCTTCTAGTCCAACCCCTGCTCAGGCAAGAAAATTAATTTCTGTTGATTTTTAGGAGAGTAGATATTGACACAGGGCAAAGAACCCAGTTCTATTCAATACAAAAAAAAGCATTTTGTCTCTATTTTCTAAGAAGGCAACGTCTTATAATTGGAAAACCAATGATCAAAATCAATTATTAAGTTGATGAATTGGCTATACACAATTGAAAGCCAGTGGCATCAGACCACAGTGAAGAGATTTAACTTTAGGATGTCAAATTTGATTTAACTGTGATGATGGTGATGATGGTTATTGTTATCCAGATAACTAGTCGCATAAGGAATCAAATAACCATTATGTACCTATGCATCCGGCCCTCTCAATTCCTGGCAAATAGTTGGGGAAGAAATGACAAATTTTATTTTCCTGGGCTCCAAGATCACCGCAGATGGGGACTGCAGCCAAGAAATTAAAAGACGCTTGATCCTGGGGAGGAAAGCTATGGCAAATCTAGACAGCATACTAAAAANATTGGATTTAATTTGCCACAATTCTCCACCTAAACTGATGAAAGACTTTTCCTCTATCCTATGGTTATTGTTTTCATGAATCTCATATATTCTGTACAGAGGTGGTATTCAGCAGGTTCTGACCAGTTCTGGAGAACCGGTAGCGGAAATTTTGAGTAGTTCAGAGAACCAGTAAATACCACCTCTGACTGGCCCTGCCCGCCCCCATCTATTCTCTGTCTCCCGAGTCCCAGCTGATCGGGAGGAAATGGGGATTTTGCAGTAACCTTCCTCTGGAGTGGGGAGGGAATGGAGATTTTACAGTATCCTTCTCCCACCACACCCACCAAGCCACGTCGACAGAACCAGTAGTAAAAATTTTTGAATTCTACCACTGATTCTGTATCTTTATTAATTTAAAATTCATGTCTTCGTCCATTTGCAAGTCTTTTCAAGTCACAATCTTGTAAACTCTGCTTTACATTGTTACCCAAGGAACCATGTCACCAGTTTTAAGTAACCCAGCAAAAGTTGGATTTTGGATAGAAATTCCTTGGATCACATTTAAAAAAAAAACCCTCTGGAATTTGGATTTTCTAATGTAGATCCATGTTTTTTTAATCGCTGCTATACAATTCATGTTCTTTGTTACAATTTCTATAGCAAAGTATTGATGATTATTGCTGGCTTTGTTACTGAAGTTAACATTTAATTGAATCAGACTATTTAATGGATCTCATTATACATTTCATCCAATGATAACCACTGCATGGTACAAGAATCATACATTTATTTTGAAGTTTAGGAAAGTAATCTGCATTACTATTTCAATTAATTCTATGAAGTAAAGCTTTTAAGTTAGAGTTCTAATTCTATATCAAGAAAGAATGGAATCATTATCAAACTAAAGGTAAAGGTTCCCTTTGGACATATATGCTAGTCATTCACGACTCTAGGGGGCGGTGCTCATCTCCGTTTCAAAGCCGAGGAGCCAGCGCTATCCGAAGACGTCTCTATGGTCATGTGGCCGGCATGACTAAACGCCGAAGGTGCACAGAACACTGTTACCTTCCCACCAAAGGTGGTTCCTATTTTTCTACTTGCATTTTTACATGCTTTTGAACTGGTAGGTTGGCAGAAGCTGGGACAAGTAACAGGAACTCACTCTGTTACAAGGCGCTAGGGATTCGAAACGCCGAACTGCCAACCTTTCTGATCGACAATCTCAGCGTCTTAGCCACTGAGCCACCGCTCAATGATTCCTCAGTTAGGAATCACTATTGCTAAAAGCCAAATGAAATGCTGACTCCTTTCATTTTAAAGCAGGATCAGTATTTCCTTAACATGTGTTTTAGGTTCTCCCCATATACATGGCGAGAAAAATGAATCTTGCGAGTTTACGAGACAGATGGCAGAGGGAACAAAGCTGTTACAGAATCTGGGAGTCCTACTAGAAATACTTCAAAACCTCCCAGATGGGAGTAACAGAAACAGACCCTCAAGTGGGTGTGTGGGGTCTCTAACAATGCTTTGAGCTCTAAGCACATAGTGCTTATAAACAATATCCTGAATAATGGGAAGCGAGTTTGCTGTAATAAAAATATAATATAAAATCTAATATAAAATATAAAAATATAATTTAATATAATATAAAATGATGCTATAGGGCACTGCACACCAGAACAACTAAACACAAGGACAGTTTTTCCCTGAATGCCATCATTCTGCTAAACAACTAATCCACACAACACTGTCAAATTATCTAAGACAGTATTACTATTATTATTCTCTTCCTTCCTAGTACCTATCTCTCTCCCAGTACCTATGTCTTTCCACTTGTGACTATAACCATGTTGCTTGTATCTTTAAAATTTATATTGTTTTGTTTCCTAGTATAATTAGATTGCTTATTATTAACCTATGACTATCACAAAGTGTTGTATCTTATGATTCTTGATGAATGCATTCTATTTGATTTTTCTTTGTGTACACTGAGAGTATATGCATCAAAGACAAATTCCTTGTGTGTCCAATCACACTTGGCCAATAAAGAATTCTATTCTATTCTAATCTTCTCCACTGTCCATACCACTCTCTGTATGGACTTTCTATCTGAGGCACTGCTGCCACCAAACCAAACAGTGATGCAGTTTGTTAAAAAGTTCAAAGAAGAGATAATAAAGAGGTTTACATCAGGGAAACCGTTTGAGAAGTTTCTATCAAGGAAGCCATAGGCAGCAAGCTAATGCAAGGCAGGAGGAAAACTAGCCAAATCTGTGTGTTCTCCCCCCCCCACCCAACTTTCTAACTTTAGAGAAAGAATCACTTACTACAGAGCTAATTGGTATGGTTTATTGTTGTGGCCCAGCAGGAGCCATTGGAGCTGCCACCAGACTCTGACAGCGAGGGGCCCTATGAGTCGGCCCTGGAGGATGTGAAGGACCCTGGACAGGGTTCAGACTCCGAGCAGGGCACAGAGAGACTGGTTGGCCACCAGGTGACACCTGAGCCTTGGACCAGTGAGGAGGAGACAAGGGAGAGTGATCCAGTAACCAACAGTGAGTTGTTCCTGGATGCACGCCATCGAAGAGCTACTTGGCATCAGGAACAATTACACAATTACAGGAGATAATTACGCT